AATGAATCAAACGTACACAATGGGGATCTCCCTTCCCCTCAAAATGTCCACGTTTCACCGGGGAAAGCGCTCAAAAAAACCAAAACAAATATTTTTTCAACTGCTGGCCCATGAGGATTGTTTAGGCCATTTCTTCTCCTGAGAGCAAGAAAAACAGACATCAGGAGAGAGCTGCGTTACATGTGCTGTGTCAGAGAAGTCACTGCGACACACTTGGGGGTTGCGATTTCAGTTACACAGAAAGTCACAAAGTTGAAGTTCCCACAGCCACTCAAACCACATTCCCCAGCACGAACACAGAACAACCAGCTCTTTCATTACGTGACTACGTCCCAAGCCATGTTCTTCAGGGTCCTGAAATTCCCTCGGATGGCCACGCACCCTGCACCTAGGCTTGAAAACTGACTACCAACCCCATATGAATCCACCATAAGCTTTTTACAAGGATTCAAAATAACTTACTCTGTGTGAGGAGGTGGGGGATGGGGAGGGGAGGTCTGTAATTTTAGAGCATCTAGCAAAGTTAGCATAAAATATGGACTTTAACTTGGGTTTATATATAAAATGAAGGTGCTGTCTACAACTCTTGAATCCTTTTGTCGTAAAATATTAAATATGTAAAGGACCTTAAAAATCTTCTGGTCAACCTCCCCCTATACACAAATACATAAATAATATAGATGAGGAGTAAAGAGGTCTGGAGACATTTCCTCCTTAGACTGTAAACGTCTTGCTTCTTAGGGCAAGAACTATTTTGCTTATGTTCTTATTCTTTAACACAGTAGCACGAACACAATAAAGACTCAGGAAGAAAGTGACGAATGAAGAAGTTAATGAGCTGCCCTGGTCTGCAAAGTCAGGTTCAGCACACAGGACTCTCTCAGTGCTGTGTGCTCTGCCCAGTCCTATCCGTTGTGTAGCCACTAGATTGTAATCTACTTGAGGGCTGAAGATGTCATTTATTTGTTTTTTTGGCCATCATACCCTGTGCATTGAACTTTGCAAGTATTCAATAAAAGCATTTTGAATGAGTAAAGAAATTAATGAATAATTGAGTAGATGAAAACATATGAAAACATACAGTGAAGATAACTAAATATCTTTCTTGAATAATTTCAATATTACTTTGTCCCAAAGGGGAAATTCTTCCAGTTTCTAGGATGCTGGATTTAAGGAGAAGTAGATTTTTTAATATTCCATATATTCCTTTGACCCTTCCCTATTGGTGTCCCACTGGACAATTATAAAACGAGAAAGGGGCCGGGCATGGTGGCTCACACCTGTAATCCCAGTACTTTGGGAGGTCAAGATGGGCAGCTCACCTGAGGCCAGGAGTTCGAGATCAGCCTGGCCAACATGGTGAAACCCCGTTTCTACTGAAAATAAAAAAATTAGTCTGGCGTGGTGGCACACACCTGTAGTCCCAGCTACTCAGGAGGCTGAGGCAGGAGAATAGCTTGAACCCGGGAGGCAGAGGTTACAGTGAGCTGAGATCTCGCCATTGCACTCCAGCCTGGGCAACCGAGTGAGACTCCATCTTAAAAATAAATAAAACGAGAAAAGTAATTATAACAGGAAACATCGCCTCCTCCCTCACAGTGCAGCCAGTTCTCTTCAAGCTCATTACCTACTTCAACTTTAATGAAAATGAATTCATCTTGGCCCACGAGGCCTTGACATCTTGTTCCAACCTAACTGTCCATCTGTGGCCACCCGACCATGTGAACATTTCCCAGTTTCTAGACTTAAAGAGATCTTTCATGACTTTACGTTCATGGGCATGTTTCGACCTCCATCTAGAATACACTTCACTATCACCATGATTACCATGACTGCTACCATCACCACAGCCATCTGACCACTGATGCCATCCCCCTTTTCACCACTCCCACCCACCTCCGCCATCACTGTCATCACCACCACCACCGCCACCATCTCCCATCATCGCCACCCACATCATTCAAAGCCAGCATCACCACCACCACCATCACTGCCCTACATCACCTTCACCACCAATTACTGCCACCTTGCCACCACTCCCTTAAACTTAAAAAATCCTTCTTCCTCTCTTAAGAGCCAGCATTTTCAAATGGAACTTCCTAAATCCCTCCAGAATTTGGTGCCCAGCCCTTCTCTGAGCTCCAACAGTTACTTGTTCTCCACTACCTGATTGCATCCAGCATATTGCATTGTAGCTTATTCAATGGCGTGTCCTTTCTAGCAGCCCATATGCTCTGCTGGACCCCGAACCCTTGCTTGAAAGGAAATATTTGCAGAGAGTCTGACCACAGATCTCAGAGCAATGAGGGTCAAAAGAAAGGGAGTGGACGAGGACTCCACAGAGAGCAGGCTGTGGTGCTTCTCCCCAGGATATGGCTACAAGGTTTCAAGAGTTACTGACATTGCCCCTAAACAAAGCTGTGGTATGAACTGCTTTTGTAGCCTGCCTCTTCTATCTTTCTAGATTTCTCACTTTCATTTGAATTGTCATTAAACAAAATTACATACCACCTATTCAGTACGAAGATTACAGGCATGCTGGGGAGGAAAACAGCCAGACCGCTCTCATGCAGGACTAGAATTGGGTGGGTGGGGCTGTACAGGAAGGGTGTTTGAGGGTTGGGGAAGGTTCCCAGAGGAAGTGAGGTCTAGGCTGAGGTCTGACAGCTGGGTGAGGACTAACCAGGTAAGGAGAGAGGAGAAGAGGTGCTCCATGACGAAGACACAGGTCTTTCTGTTTTGCAAACAAGCCAAGCTTGTTCTCATCCAGCCCCTTACAGTTTCCATTCCCTCTGCCTGGAGCCTTCTGCTCCGAGATCTTTTTTTTTTTTTTTTTTTTTTTGAGACAGAGTCACGCTCTGTTGCCCAGGCTGGGGTGCAGTGGCCGGATCTCAGCTCACTGCAAGCTCCGCCTCCCGGGTTTACGCCATTCTCCTGCCTCAGCCTCCCAAGTAGCTGGGACTACAAGCGCCCGCCACCTCGCCCGGCTAGTTTTTTGTATTTTTTTTTTTTTAGTAGAGACGGGGTTTCACCGTGTTAGCCAGGATGGTCTCGATCTCCTGACCTCGTGATCCACCCTTCTCGGCCTCCCAAAGTGCTGGGATTACAGGCTTGAGCCACCGCGCCGGGCCTGCTCCCAGATCTTTACATGGACAACTTTTCTTCACTCAAGTCTCAGCTCAGATGTCGCCTAGGCAGAGAAATCTTTCATTTCCCACTGTCTAGCCCTGTGCTTCTCAAACATTAGCATGCAAAGAAATGACAAGGGGATCCTGTTACAATGCTGATTCTGAGCCAGCAGGTCTGGGCCGTCTTCTGAGATTCTGCATTTTTAACAAACTCATTGCTCATATGATGTTGTTGACTCAAAGATCATGCTTTGGGTAGCTCTAGCTGAAAATCGTCATGTCTGATTTTCTTCATAGTTCTTATCACTACATGAAATTACCTTGTTCATTATTTTTTTCTAGTTATTGTTCTCATATATACACAAACCACCCCTAGAATATGAGTTCCATGAAATCAGGTATATGTTTTGCCTTTTACACCATCGTATCCTCAGGACTTGCTTATAGTAATTGCATACCAAATATGAATGAATGTGTGAATAAGTGAATGATTTGGAGTTTGGCCTTCTAGCCCAGGGCTTCACTTCCCTCCCACAACCTAGGCCTCCATCATAGGACATCAGCACTTTGTGCCAAAGACCACTGCAGGAAATCTCGAGAATAAGCCTATGCCATAACTGTGGGTCAGCATGTATTCTTGGTTTTATTGTTCCTTCCTCTTTATTTCACCTCAGCAGCCATCATGAGCTCATCCCAGCCCTGGGAACATGCCGTCCTTTCCTGCTCAACGTCTAATATAAGCCCTTAGTGTTTCTGGTGAAAGCTACTCTCTGCACCTGAACCCTGACACCATGAAATTTTTGGATTCTGCACCATCTCTTCTTTCATCTTCCTGATTTTTCCTAGGCCCTATTACCTATAGCCAACTTAAGCTCTCAAAATTCTTAAAAACCCTTCTCTCTAGTCAGATAATGTATCTCATTCTACTGCTCAAGGAGCCTTTCAACCTAGGATTGAGCATACTTTCCAATTTTTTCATTTTCCAAACTAGCTTTCTGTTTCTAAACACCCTCTTTTTTCTCCCTGCCCCCAGCAGGCACAGATTACCACTGCCAAGCATTAGTGAGCATCGCCTCAAGGTGAAGTACTGTGCCTGGTTTGGGGAACTACAAAGGACAGACATGACCCCAGTCCCTGGAGACCTGAAATCTCAACAAGAGGGAAAGCAGCCTACACACAAGAAGAGAAGTAATATCCAGTGCAGGATGTAAAAAGTGTCCAATGGGTGCTGCACAACGTGAGTGTGCCATGCAAAAACGAGGTGGGTCCAGGAAACCCACTGTCTTGACATCACTTTCCCCTCCTGGTAATCCCCACAGGCTATTCCTTCTTCTTTTACAGCGACTCTTCCTCTCCTCACCTCTAAATGCTGACATGTTCAGGGTTTAGCCATGGAGCTTTTGCTCTTCCATCTATGCACTCTCCTGCTCTGGGAAATCTCAGCCATTTATATGACTTTAAATACCATCTCTATGCTGACAACTGCCAGATTTCTATCTTTATTCCAGACTCTTCTCTGAAAGACAAGGTCACAAAACCAACTGTTTGGTTAACATTACAATGTGGATGTCTAACAGACATCTCAAGCTTAAACTATCCAAAATGGAAGTCTTGGGTTTCATCTTCTCTCTCTCTCTCTCTCTCTCTCTCACACACACACACACACACACACACACAGAGAGACACAAACATATACATACTGACACACACAACCTCCATTTAAAATCTGTTCCTCACCCAGTCTTCTATTTGAACAGTTGTTTGAAGAAAGGGGGAAAAAATAGAATTATCCTATCTTGCTGCTCCCACATCCAATCTGAATCAGTTGGAAATAAGTGTGGTGATATATAAACTAAATTTAACTTGCAATGATTTAACCAAATAAGAGTTTTTTTTTTTTTTTTTCCACAAGGGAATTCCAAAAGAAGGCAGTCCAGGGTGAGATGGGGGCTCTGGATCAAAGATCATGCTCACTCTTTAATCTTTCTGTTTCCTTCATGGTGACTTTCTCCTCAGGCTTTTTGTCTCTTGTCCTCAAAGTAGCTACTCCAAACGGCATCTGCAATTCAAGCGAGAAGAAGAGGAAGAGCAAAGGGAAAAAATTTGTTTGGCAGTTAAATCCACTTCCTTTTAAAGAGCTTTTCCAGAATCCCCTATGCAGCAATTCCCTCTTACATCTCATTGTTCAGAACTACATCACATGATTACCCTTAGTTGCAAGGGAAGCTGGAAAATACAGAATTTTCTTTTCAGTTAGGCACACTCTTACCCCAAACAACACTTACATTATAAATGTTACATCATTTATATTCTATAACATTATATTAATAAGGAAGAAGGGGAGAATGGACATTAGGAAATCAATCTGCAATGTCAACCGCAAAATCCATCAGCAAATCCTGCTATTGTCCTCCAAAAACTATCACGAATTCATCTCTTCCTCTCCATCCACACTGCCAACAGTACCATGATGCCTCCTGCCAAGTTACTGCAATAGACTTTTAACTTGCTTCTTCAACTGCCAACCTCCAACCTGACTTTCAGGTGGAGACTGATATTTAAAGGCTATCTTAGATCATGTAATTCTTCTGTTAAAATTTCTATTACTTGCCACTTCATGAAAATAAAATCCAAGCATTTATCATAACCCGTAGGCCCTGTATGATGTCATCCCTGCCTACTTCTCTAGTTTTCTTTCATCACACTCTTATTCATTCATTCATGCATTCATTCACTCAAACATATTTACTGAGTGCCACTACATTCAAAGCACTGTTTTAGACACTGAGGATAAAGTAGTAAATAAATTAGACAAAAATACCTTCCTTCCTGAAGTTTGCACTCTAGCAGAGGGAGACAAATAATATGCAAAATGTATCAGTGAAACATTTAGCACATTGGGTGGTCATTAGTCATCCACTCTGCTCCAGCCTTGCTGAGCTTCCTTCAGTTCCTCCAACTCTTCTAGCTGAGGACCTCCTCTGCCTAAAAAACTCTTCCCTCATCATTCCCACAGTCCTCCCCTTATATACTTCAAGTGTCAGCTCAAAGGGCACTTCTGAGAGGCCTTCTCTGACCACCCATCCTGAAATAGGGCCTCTTTCATCACACTTAACACATTTTGCAATTGGATGGATAGATGGATGTGTGAACTCATATGTTTACTTGCTTACTATCAGGCTCTCACTGAAGATTCACCTGCATAATTGAAGAGATCATGACTATTCTATTCACCATTCTTATCCAAGGGTATAGAACAGTCAGTGCCTAGCAGATGGAGGCCCTTAATAAATATTTGTTGATGGATTAATAAATCAGTGAATGAGTGAAATGGGTGGCAATGGGCCTCTGAAAGGCAATATCAGTACTTCAATAGCAGAGATTGTGGGGAAAGGCTTTCTTAGACAGATGGAACTATATGGGAAAAGCTGAAAGGCAGGAATTAGCACCAGTTGGCTTGGTGTGGTTGACAGTCAATTAGCCATTTTTGACTAGAGTCTTAAGAGATGATATTAGAAGGGTAGACTAGGGACAGATGAGGGGAGGTCTCTAATGCTGGGCCTTACTTTGGGCAGTATCAAAAATAAACAAATAAAGAGCAAACATGCCATCACAGAACAACATCATAACTCTTTGGAGCAGCCTCCAGACCCAACCCAAAGTCATCACAACAAGCACTCAGAGAAATCACTTTGGGAGGCTGAGGCTGGATGAGCATTTGAGGCCAGGAGTAAGAGATCAGCCTGGGCAACATAGGGAGACCCCATCCCTAAAACATATAATAAAATAAAATATTAGCTGGGTGAGGTGGTGTGCACCTGTAGTCCTAGCTACTCGGTAGACTAAGGTGGGAGGATTGCTGGAGCCCAGGAGTTGGAGGATGCCGTGAGCTCTGATTACACCACTACACTCCAACCTGGAGGACAGAGCAAGACTCTATCTCTTAAAAAAAATTAATTAATTAAAAATTAAAAGTTATCTCTTCTGATTATAGAAGCAATACATATTTATCATAGAAAATTTTAAAAGCACAAAAAAATAATTAAAAAATTAAGTATTAGTACTATGAACATTAATACAGGCTTTTGTCCAAAAGGGAGCATCCTTCTTCAGGACTCAGCATAGCACATGGAAGGGGTGGCAACACCAGTGACTGCAGAGCTGGGGCAACCAAAACAGATGAATTGCTAACCCTCACTCCAATGAGTCCCTGGTGTGTGACATTGGAAAGTCACTTTATTCCTCTACCCTCAGTTTCCTCATCAGTCAAACATGGATTTTTCTGATCTGTGATTTTTAAAGTGTTCCTTGGGGCTTTGTGATGCCCTTTCAGAACAGGTAAGGGAAAGGGCTCGAACTGTCCTGCCTGTCCTCCCGCCAGCATAGATCCACATTACCTGTTTTCCATGTTGGGTTTTGGCAGAAGTTTGGTAGTATATTGGACTTTTGTTGTTGTTGTTGTTGTTGCTTTCATTTGTTTTGTTTTAAACTACACACCAGGAGACATGAGGTTGCAATTCATTTTTCCAAATATTCAATAAAGTTACTTCCAACTCTAACTTTTGATGATCATTCTAATTCCCTTCTGATAGAAATTAATATAGTCGTGAACTAGGTGGAACTATAAACTCCTTTTCCTATGGGCCTACAGGAACTTTCCTAAAGATTCTAAAAGTATCAAGTCATTCTAAATGGAACAACTTACACCAGCTCATCTATGGCTGTGGACCTTGAACAAGTTGCTTAACCTCCCCTTGCTTCAATCTCCTCATCTGTAAAATGGGGATCATATAACCTACTCTGTTGGATGCAGGGAAAATGAAATTGTATGTCACACAAAAAAGTGCCTAGCACACAACAAGGAATAGAGCCGTAGCTTACATTTCCCGACTTCTTACTGTGAGCCAGGATCTGAGCTTCATGTTTGATGTGCATTCCTTCATCCTATCTACACACAAGCCTCTGCAAGAGACCCTTTTTTTTAATCACTGTCTATTATTTCCCCATTTTACAGATGAGAAACTGAGGCTTAATGACATTAGATAACTTTTTTCCGTTTCACCCAGAGCTTGGGTTTGAACCCAGGTAATCAGATTCATGAGGCTGTGCTATAAAATGAATGACAGTAAAAACCATAATACTAACTGTAACTCACCTATTTTGAGGGTTTGCTCTACAGGAGAAACTGTTATAAAAGCTTTGTTTCATTTAGTCCTCACATGGATCCAATGGAGCGAGCCCTGATTTTACTGATTAGAAAACTGAGACACAGAGACACTAAATGCTATAATATCTCCACTGCCTTTTAAGTTGACTGCTTAGAACTGACTCCAACTCCTCAGGTAGCTTCTCTACTGAACATTAGGAGCCTATGCAACTAATTGTCTAACTGATCCTTCTGAAAAGATAGAATAAAAAGCATCCTCTAAAATGAGAACTCCCAGGGAAGGGGTGCCTTAACTCAGAATTTACAACAGCAAAAGGTAATCATCAAAGACTCCCTTCCTTCCCACTCCCACAAATCCAATCAATTATGGGTCCTGCAGTCTCACCTCCTAAATATTTCTCCACTCATTCTTTTCACTCATTCCTACCTTGGCTGCTCTGGTTTGTGCCATTCTTTCTGTCAAAAGCCTCTTGCCTGCTCTCGCTGCTCCAATCTTGACCTCCAACCACCTTGCACCCTCACTCTATACTGTAATTTCCCCACTAAAATCCTTTTAGTGGCCCCCCAATGTCCTGCAGAATAAAGCCCAAGCTCCACATGCCCACATTTGTCTCCAGCCTCATTTCCTAGTGTAAAATGCATATTCCAACATCAGGAAACCATTCATAGGTCCTCTCACCACATGGTCGCTTCCCACCTTTATATATTTAGTATATGTTCTCTTTGCATAGAAATCCTTTCCCACCTTTCCACATGTAGCTAACTCTTTGCTCTTCCTTCCTCGAATAGCCAGGTTAATCCATGTACCCTCCTCCAGGCTCCTAATGAGCCCTGCACTCTCAGCACATTGAGTTAAATGTATCTCCTAACAGGACTGTCTACCCCACGGCACAGCACATTTCCTGAGAGCAGGGACAACCGGGGTTTTATTCTTCTCTGTATCCATGAAGTCTGTATGTACGGTATGCAGCATGTAGTAAGCACTCAATAAGTATTTGTTAAAGAATCAAATCAGGCCAGGCATGGTGGCTCATGCCTTTAATCCCAGCACTTTGGGAGGCCAAGGTAGGAGGATCCCTTGAGCCCAGGAGTTTGGGACTAGCCTGGGCAGCATAGGGAGACCCCATCTCTAGAAAAAATTTCAAAAATTAGCCAAGTGTGGTGGCATGCACCTGTAATCCTAGCTGCTTGGGAGGCTGAGGTGAGAGGATCTCTTGAGTCTGAGAGGTCAGGGTTGCAGTGAGCCGTGATCACACCACTGCACTCCAGCCTGGGCAACAGAGTGAGACCCTGTCTCAAAAAATAAAAATTAAAAAAGAATCACACCAAAGTCAAGGAATTGAAGATTGTAGTGGACAGTACGTAAATTCTTAGCATGTTTTTAGCTATAGTTGACATTCAGTGAACTCTCCCAAGTTTGAATAATTGGATTAAGCAGCTACCATAAACCATTTGCTATTCTGAGCCTTTACCTCATATCTTCACAGTAGTCCCACGAATTACATGCTGCTACTATTTCCATTTTACAGTTGTGAAAATTGAGAGAGATTAAACAACTTTTTCAGGGCCACAGATCTAGCAAGTAGAAGGGCTGTAGTTTGAATCTGACTCCAGGGTCAAGTTCTTAGCTAATTACCAGAAGACTGAAATGTCAGCCAACAAGTGTATATCATAAGCTCAAGGCAAGAGCTGCCAGTAGTACACACCTGGGGGCAAAAGTATGGAGATAACATCTGTTAGGAAGAAAGCCGAGAGAGACGTGTACTCTATGTCAAATGGTAGGGCGTGGCTGGTGTCAAGAAGAGACAATCCTAAGCCATACACATTGATATGTAGCTCTGATCCTCCAAAATGAGGGATTGCTGCTATGCCCAGGTCCACTTACCCACTGT